CGAACTTCTGGCCAGAGAAAAAACACGTAATATGTAGCCAACATTTGGAAGAAGAATGTTTTCAAGATGACTTGGATAATAGCGCGTTGCGACAAACACCAGATACAGCACTGGGACTTGATCAACAGCCAATATAGAAGTATGTATTCTGAATGTGGCTGGACTCTTTCTTTAACGCCTGTATGGTTATTTTCAATTTAATTAAATTCAGTTTATTTCTATAGCGCCAAATTCACAACACATGTCATCTTAACGCACTTTACAGTTCACCAGATCATACAGTCAAGCTGATTCTTGATAGTTTTCTATCTAAGGAAAACCATCGACTCATTGACTAAAGTACAATCCCTCACACTAATCATGCTTGTAGTGACAGTGGAGAGGAAAAACTCCCTTTTAACAGGAAGAAAGCTCCAGTAGAACCAGGCTCAGTGTGAGCGGCCATCTGCTGAGGCCGACGGGGTTCAAGGAGACAATTTTAACATCATTGTAACACATATCCTGTAACACAATGTAAATATATCCTTTCCATATTTTTCGTCCGATTCTTTTTTTTTTGTCTACTTTTTCATACTTAAAATATTGCAGTTAATTTTTTTCCCATTATTCTTGCAAACAATGGACACATTTTGCTAAAGGAAATCTGGAAAAAAGGCAATTCAGAGATTAAACTGAAAATCGTCTTTATCATAAAAATAAAGCTTTATTTTATCGTTTCAAATTTATGTTTTTACATATTTAGTTTTAGGAATTTCACTCTTTTCAAATTGTATTTAACAAAACTGATTGTCTTCACTTCAGGGGGCGGGTTTTCCTCTGGAGCTTTTCTGTTGGTCTGCATGAAAGTCACACTGTAAAAACAATCTAGAAATGAGTAAAAATGTCTTAAATTAAATTTGTTTAACCTTATTTTGAGTAAGTAAATGAGACAGTTTGCCAATGGAATGAGTATCTTTACTCTTAAAATAAGATAATTGGATAATATGCACTTGAAATAAGGCAGTGCAATTGTGTTTTCTTATTTCAAATGTAAATTATCTTCTCCTATTGGCAAAATGTCTCTTTTACTTCCTTAATCCAAGAACAAATGCACTTATTTTAAGAAAAAATTACTTCTCTAGATTTAGATTTTTTTCCAGTGCAGCAACAACGTTTTCTTGGTGAAGAGCGAGAATTTTGACTTGAAGTGAATTTGG